CCCCTCCTCCACCACCCCGGACAGAAAGCCCACCCCCAAGATCAGGCAGCGAAACTCCCAATAACAAGCCGGGATTCGAACCCAGGTCAACGACAGCCACAGAGGCTGCGCCATAAATACGTGCGCACTTAAGGGAGACGCAGCTGCGAGGAAGGATTTTAAAAAAAAACCAAACCCAAGCCTTTGCCACGGGGGGGGGGACACACAGAGAGAACAGCCTTTCCCCCTGCTGTTCAGGCGCATGCGCACGGCGACCCCTCCCCGCTGCTCCTCCGGCCTCTCCGCACTAGGCGCCCCGACCGGCCGCGGCCCGCCTCCCCGCCCCAGACTCGCCTCGGCAACGGGGCGACGCCATCTTGTCTGCCTGCCTCACACGCCCCCTCCCCCCTCGGCCGACGCGCTGCGTCACGGCGTCGGTCACGCGACGCGGAAGGAGGCGGGGCACGGTCGCGGGCAAAGGGCCACGGGATCGCGGTCGCGGAGTCGAGGGAGACTTCGGGTTCTCCGTCGCGGCGAGGGAAGGGCGTTTCCATGTGCGGGCGAGAGGGGCGGGAGGAAGAATGGTTAATGTCAATAACGCGGCTAGGGTGGCCGGCTTTGGGTTGGGAAACACCTGGAGATATGGGGGGTGGAGCCTGGGAAGGGACTTCAGTGGGACACGAGGCCACAGAGTGCTCTACGGTTGCCACGCAGTGTTCCCTCTAAGCTGAGTTAGTGTGAGGTAGTTCACAGCCTCCGGCTCACACATTTTTGCCTCTGCTCAGGAAGGAGGGCTCCAGAGTAGAGTAATTCAGAACAGAACAGAAAACCTTTATTGGCATAACATAGATGAACCAGAACAAAGGAAAAATTTAAGGGGTAGTACAACGTCAACCAATATTCCCAATATCTCAAAATACAAAGCAATCCTAACATGGTTTACAAGATTTACAAAGTACTACTCTTGACTTCCATACATAAGTCAAAAATTCAGCAACAGATAGTGTAGGAGCCAAGTCGCTCGCTCACAGCTTTAATGCTAGCAGCTCACAAAGTAGAATTTTTGCTCACAGGACTCCACAGCTTAGAGGGAGCATTGGTTGCCCCTGGCCACCAGCAGGGAATTGGGGGGGGGGTAGGGTTGCCAGATCCAGTTTGGGAAACTCCTGGAGTTTGGGGGATGGAGCCTGGGGAGGACAGGGACCTCAGTGGGGTACGATGCTGTGGTGTATTCAATCTGACCAAAGTATGTATGTGAACTCTGTCATTGAAACACCATGTGAAGCTTTCATCCTGGGCGAGGATCCTAATCCCGCACTTGTAATTGGTAGCCCAGGAAGAACCGACCAATCACCAACAGCCAGTTCCAAGAGCGGGAACTATTGTGCCTTATACTAGGCTCTGCTCTGACCCAGAAAGCCCAGGTTAGCCCGATCTCGTCCAGTACTGGAAGCTAAGCAGGGCTGGCCCAGGCTAGTATTTGGGGCGTGACACGAAGGCAGGCAACAGCAAACCACCTCTCGGTGTCTCTTGCCTTGAAAACCCTATGCAGTCTCCATAAATCAGCCGTGGCTTGACAGCACTTTCCACCACCCAACTGCCATCAGATGTCGGAACTAAGGAGAGCTGGCCCTGGGAGACCTCCAAGGAATACCAGGATTATGAGGCCATGGCCAACCACCTCTGAACGTCTCTTGCCTTGAAAACCCCACAGGGCCGCCATACGTCCGCTGTGACTCGAAGGCAAAAAACACCACAAACTAGTTCTCCCCAACCAAGAGCACACACAAAAACTAAGAGCACACACAAAAATCAGCACTCAACACTAACAAGACATTTCTAACTTTAACGTTTGGGTCCAGTGGCACCTTTACAACCAACAAAGTCTGATTCAAGGTATAAGCCTCCGTGCGCAAGCACACTTCGTGGCGGCTACAAGCATGGACAGCTTCAAAAGGGAATTAGATAGGCATATGGAGCAGAGGTCCATCAGTGGCTATTAGCCACAAGGTATAGATAGGGAATTTGGGGGAAGTGATGCTCTGTCATCTTGGTGCTTGGGGGGGGGTCAACAGTGGGAGGGCTTCTAATGTCCTGGCCCCACTGGTGGACCTCCTGATGGCACCTGGTATTTCTGGCCACTGTGTGATACAGAGTGTTGGACTGGATGGGCCTTTGGCCTGATCCAACATTGGCGTCTCTTATGTTCTTATCTGTTTGGAGTTGAGTTACTAAAGCAGATCTTTTGCTGAAATCACTCTCTGACTCTTTGTTAAGTAACCGACTTAACAGATAGTTAATAGAGCCCACCCTCCAAAGCATCCATTTTCTTCATTGGCACTGATTTCTATTGTCTGGAGATAAGCTGTAATTCCAGGGGATCCCCAGGTCCCACCTGGAGGCTGGCATCCCTAGAGCCCACCTTCTAGAGCAGCCATTTACCTCCGGGTGCATTGATCTCTATAGCCTGGAGATCAGTTGTGACCCCAGGAGATCTCCAGCCAACACCTGGAGGTTGGCAACCCCATAACACATATGCCTCATTCCAAATAAAGTGAGGAGGGTCAGAGAATTGCAGAGGTGCAGCAGTGGGAGTCTTTGGCGGCCAGCATAATTAAAAAGGGGCTGTCGGGGGCCGTTAAAACAGAATGGACTTCCCCAGGCGACCAAACAGGAAAACATGAATCCTCAAATAAGAGGCCAAACTTTGTATGGAAGAAAATCTGCAGTGTGACAGTTTTCCTCAGGTCTTGCAAACTGAGGGCCGAGTCAATCCTTTTCGTGTTGCGTCTTCCCCTTTTCCACTTTCAGAATCCCTGTTGAATTGCTGGGAATTCAAACATTGGAATACGCTTGACAGATGAAGAAGAAGAAGAAGAAGAGAGATTGGATTTATACCCTGCCCTTCACTTGGAGTCTCAGAGCAGCTTTATATAATAAAAGGCACAAGGACTTCCTTTTGGAAGTATTCAAGGACCCCTCTGGCGCTCTGGATAGATAAGAGGTGCGATTTCTGACACTTGCGGAGGGGTCGCCCAGACACAGAGGTGCCTTCCTTGCAAACAAATATAAAGGTAGAAAGGGACTCCTTTCTACCATAGCATATTGTAAAATAATAAAGTGAGGAGGGTCAGAGAATTGCAAAGGTGCAGCAGTGGGAGTCTTTGGTGGCCAGCATAAGTAAAAAGGGGCTGTCGGGGCCCTTAAAACAGAATGGACTTTCCCCAGCGACCAAACAGGAAAACATGAATCCTCAAATAAGAGGCCAAACTTTGTATGGAAGAAAATCTGCAGTGTGACAGTTTTCCTCTGGTCTTGCAAACTGAGGGCCGAGTCAATCCTTTTCGTGTTGAGTCTTCCTCTTTTCCACTTTCAGAATCCCTGTTGAATTGCTGGGAATTCAAACATTGGAATACGCTTGACAGATGAAGAAGAGAGATTGGATTTATACCCTGCCCTTCACTCGGAGTCTCAGAGTGGCTTTATATAATAAAAGGCACAAGGACTTCCTTTTGGAAGTATTCAAGGACCCCACTGGCCTCTGGATAGATAAGAGGTGCGGTTTCTGACACTTGTGGAGGGGTCGCCCAGACACAGAGATGCCTTCCTTGCAAACAAATATAAATTCTGTACCCAGGGACGCCAGGCACTCCTTTCTACCATAGCATATTGTAAAAGCATAAATTTTCCACTTGTGCAGGGCTTCTCTGAATGATAAAACAAAAGTATTCTGACTGCAAAGTACTGGGAAAAAGAAGAGACTCCTACAAAGGAAAAACTAATTTTTAGACTTTTGGACGCAGCAGAAATTGATACGTTAACTTCACAATTGCAAGGAAAATTAGAAAGTGACTTTGAAAGAAAATGGGCGAGATTTTACAAATGGCTACAAGGCTATTTAGGAGAACATAAAGAAGGTTTCCCTTGCTCGAAAGCCAGTCGAGTCCAACTCTAGGGTTTCGGTGCTCATCTCCGTTTCAAAGCCGAAGAGCCAGCGCTGTCCGAAGACGTTTCTGTGATCATGTGGCCAGCATAACTAAACACCAAGGTACATGGAACGCTGTTACCTTCCCACTGAAGTGGTACCTATTTATCTACTTGCAATTTCTTGCTTTCGAACTGTTAGGTTGGCAGGAGCTGGAACTAGAGACGGGAGCTCACTCCGTAATAATAATAATAATAATTTTTCAATTTATTGATCGCTCAATCCTTGCAGAGCTGCCGGCTCTGAGCGATTTACAGTTACTCATGTGTTGACATGGGACTAACAATGATGGGGGTAAGGGAGGACAACATATATCATTTTTAATCACACACACTTCGCAGTCGACAGGGAGTTTGGTCAGCTGTAAGCATCAGACGTATTCCGGCAGCATTCTTTAGTCGGCGTCACTTGATGTCATCAGCATTTTTTCTCAGTTGCAGCACACCACTGCCACCGTCTGGCTGGAATGGCCCATTGCACGCTTTTCTTTGATGCTGCGTAGATCTCTCTCGGCTTTTGATCTTACGCACGGACCTTCCGTTTGTCGGCTAACACTTCCCACTGGGGGGTTAAGTTTGCCCACCCTCTCTAAGGAGTGGTACCCATTTTATCTACTCGCCGAAGCTTTCGAACCGCTGGGTGGACGGCGAGCTGGGGATACGGCTGGTAGCTCACACCAGTGCGGGGCTCGAACTGACAGCAGTCCTGTTCAGCTCAGATGTTTAACCAGAGGATAAATCCCCTGTGCCACCGCTTCCCCTTATATATAAGTATAAGTATAAGGTACAGACGGCTTAAAAAAAATTGATTCCTTAGATATATGTGAACCAAAATGTAACAATATAGACTCCGGCTTCTGTATTTTCTACTCTGACCTTTTTCTTATCTTTTTCTTTCCTAATCTTTAACTATGAAACTAATAAAATTTCTCTATAATAATTTTTTAAAAAAGTATTCTGGTTTCTAATCTATGTCCTTCATTTACTGTATACAAAGCTCGCTTGTGCTTTGGGAAAGAACAACGGAAAAGATACCTTCTCAGTCACATAGGATGTTGACACCACAAAGGAATATGCTAAAGAAAACATTCTTCTCGCCAGAAAGCACAACATCAGGCTCAGCACCTTTTGTTTCTTACATTCTGAATATAATAAAATCAATTCCCACCAGTGTGGGAGCATTTCAGGTATTCTTAAGATTATTTTTTCTTTTGACACCTCCCACAAATGGCAGCTTGTGCCCTTTGAGGCATTAGAGACAAGATTACCAGCCCCCCCCCTCCAATTTAAGAAGAAGGAGATTCGATTTATAACCCCTTCACTCAGAGTGGCTCCTTTCCCTTCCCCTCCCCACAACAAACACCCTGTGAGGTATCCTCCCACAAATGGCAGCTTGTGCCCTTTGAGGCATTAGAGACAAGATTACCAGCCCCCCCCCTCCAATTTAAGAAGAAGGAGATTCGATTTATAACCCCTTCACTCAGAGTGGCTCCTTTCCCTTCCCCTCCCCACAACAAACACCCTGTGAGGTATGTGGGGCTGAGATAGCTTGTAATGATTCCTTGTTTTTGTGTGTGTGTTTGTCTCTTTAAAAGTTTGGTTGCATGGCTGTGGTAGATAGACTAGAGTGGTTGAGAGAGGCAAGTGTGGTATGATTGGTGGTTGACAGAGAGGGGGAGGGGTTTTGGAAGTGAATCTGGGTGGATGAGTATGTGAGTCAGTCAGTAGTTTCAGTTACAAGTTGACAGTTGATGTAGACAGGCAGTTCTGTGTTGAAGCAGAGAAGCTGACAGCTGTGGTTGTTCAGGGAGAAGAGAAAGAGAGCTGAAAACTGAGTGTATAGGAAAAAGTAAAGTAAAGTTTAAGTGAAAAAAAAGAAAGGAAAGTCTGAGTGTCAAAACAAACTGGAATGAAACAGTGAACATATATGGCATTAAGATAAACAAGTGTTACAAAGTTACATGAAA